ATAGTACAAAATAGCTATTTACAGTAGTTTTCATGTTATTACAACCAGATATGCATATGCTACATAACCCTTTATTTTGTATCCAGTTCAGAAGGTTACAAAATAGTATTTTTACACATAGTTTGGTTACATAATATATAGTACTACATAGCTACAACATACTACATACCACACATCTCAAGATACAAATTAGTCTTCCCTCAGTACCTTCTTTCTATGATAATAATCTTTCAGTAAACATTAGTTATTTCATCTCAGATACCACTTAGTCAGACTACATATACTATTTCATTCCATACATCTGATTTCTCATCCAGATATTGTCATCTCATCTCACTCATCATCCACTTCTTTTCATACATCAATTACTTCATTCTACATTTATTTTATTCTACATTTATTTCATACTACAAGTATTTCATTCTTACATTCCATTTCAAACTCAATACACATGGCTTATATCACCTACATTCTCATCATACATCTCATTCCAACTCATTACTCATTGCTTATATCACCTACATATATATTTCACCACACAGATTTCTCATCTCACCCCAGAATATTTATTTCAGTCTTTTATCATCTCATTTCTTTTTGCACTACATATTATTTTCATCACAAACAGAAGTTACTTCATATTTTCTCCTTTTCAACATGTTTATTTCACACTACACATTTGTCAGCCTCATTTATTTCATAACCACTTGTTTTTCAGATACAAATTATTTCATACCATCTTCTTATTTCAGCTGATAGCTTACCACTAGTACCTGATCAGAACCACCCACATGTATATAGAGAATGCTCTTTCTCACTTACTTTTTTCCTCATGCTTGCATTAGAGAAGTAAAGAGATAATTACTTATCAGACATCCCTTACTAGTAATTGCCAGAGGTAATTATTATTGATTTTCCCCCAGAAGATAAGAAATTGAACCCAGAAACCATTATCCCCCAGAGCCTCATCCCTACCAAAATCCCCCACATCCTCACACTCTCACAGGTGCCTTGTACAAGACATCAGTAATAAAACTCATACTAAGATTACCCACAGAAATAGCCACACCTTTTCTTTAATTCTTAGTGTAACTCTCTCCCAAGCCTTGACAAGAGGGCAGCTTCATCAGCATCCAAGTCTTCAACTCACTTTTTCCCCTGTGTAGTTGTTCTTTTCCCCTCTAAGCTCTTTTCTTTAGCTTGAAAAGTTCCACAACGGTCCAAGTGTTGGTGTTGTCTGAGCCAAGAATTGCTGGAAACAACACCAGACTGAGGTTTGGTCAAGCGGAGGTCAACCCAATTAGAAAATACAAGAAGAAAAAAAGGGAATTTGGATTTAGCAACAAAAAGGATTGTCCAAGTGGTGATTTCAAGCCAAGATTTGTTTGAAACAATGATTGATGATGGTCAATGCCAGACTGATGTTTGCAAATGAAGGTCAACCCTACATACTGTAGTCTGCACAGGCCCAAGTACTAAACCTGTGACAGGTTCACCCCCAAGCATAAAAATCTGGGAGGATACTGTACTTGTAGTCATTTCAGAGGCCAATTTCCAGGAAGCCTCAAATATTTCTTCAAATCCAGATGTTGAGTTTAAGGACTATGTTTAGTCCCTCACTGGTTCTTGATCTTGAAGTACTGGTGCAGAGAAATTTCTAGAGCCAGAGTTACATTGCAATAGCTACAACATAGAAAGAACAGCTTTTGCAAGTGCAAGACCTTTTAGAGAAACAATCAAGAAGGAGAAAGTATTTCCATAGAGAGGAAGGAGAAGGAACATCTATCTGATGTCAGAGGGAAGAGCTTTTCTGTCTGGGTAGAAAGAAGAGAGCTAGACTAAGTACAAATGAGATGAGCTTATGTAATCATCTGTGACAGTGCTTTTTAAGACCCAATGGAGGAGGGGGTTTAACTTCATGTTTTCTTCATCAACATCAACCTTCTGCGAAAAGCCTGAATTGGAACACTGGCAAAGGTATGCCTTCCATGCTTTGAAATCTATGCACTTGCATGGTGAATCAATTTTCAAAAAAATGTACTGCATCTCCTATGAATTCCTCTTGCAACACATCTTCCAGAAAGATTGGGTGAAGAAGTTAATCATCCAGAAGGATGGGATCTTGACTAAAGAAAGTCTCTGTGGACCCATGGAAGGCACTTCCTGAACCCTCCAGGTGGTTCTGGGCACCTGTTTCCCCCAGCTGCCCAATTTGGGAAAAGTGGCTCAAAGACATATGAATTTGTGGCATGTGACACCAAATTGCAGGAAACCAGTGGGTCAGACTCCAGAGGCCCCTAATACCTGGGGGAATACCCAAACTTGACATTATTCTTGCTGCGGGGGCTCATGTGGTAGCATAGCTCTGGCCAAGCAGTTCCTGAAGGGAAAACTCCTCAGGAGAGACTTGCAACTAATGTTGAAAATCTTGTGTGGTGAGTTTTTGGGTTTTGGTGGTAGCATCACAATATTTGGAATCACAGTTCCCCCTCAAAGCTTTATGGGTGTTTGAGTAGATTTTCTGGAAGCACTGGATGATCTTTTCAATCCATCCAAAGCTAAAAACTGGTACTGCCCATCCACTGGCGTGGACAGCTTGGCTGCTTGCTACTGCTCTGGCCGTGGAGGCCTAGTTAAGCTTGGGTAATACCTGGCTCCCCAAGCCCCGCAGTGCACAGAACATTGCTGGGTGTGGGTCCCCAGTGAATACAATTGAATCTCAGTTACCTGCCTGAATTCCTGCCTGCACCTGTCAGGTGGTGTTGGGTGTAGCGCCAAATATCTGATTTGGGTCACAAAACTGACGGGCACCCAGGTACTGCTTTCACCCAAGTCCACAGATGATGTTCAATCCATGCTTCTTGATTTATTTTTCTGGTTGTTTGTTTTTCTTTTTATAATTTTTCTAAGCTTTTTTATCTTTGATCTAGTGATTTTTGTTGAGTGTTTTACTCCTCTGGTCTACTCTTCCCAAAAACTCGCTCTTTTCCCTTTTCTTTTCTCCCTTCTTTCTTTCATGAATCTTCTTGAACTGGACTGAATTATAGTCTATCATAGCTGGTTTTCTGTTGAAACTTATGAATTTGTGTAGTCTAATTAGAACTCCCTATAGCAATTTTATCAACAACTCTTGTCTTAATGATTGACTTCTTTCTTTTTCTATTTTTATTATCTGATTCTTAAAAACTGAATATTGAAAATTAACGCCTTTCAATATCTGTGGTTTAATTTGTGTTTTTTCTTGATTAACTTAATACCATGTCTAAAAGAGAATGAGAAGACTTGTTGCAATGTTTCTTTCAAAAACTCATATATTTACTCCTCTCAGTTTTTATTCAAAAACATCTTTTATTCAATTTTATTTCAACCACAATTTGATCACTTGTATGTAGTCTACTTAAGCTAGCCTAAACACAGTGAATAAAATCCCAGTCGTTCTTCCACCCTTTTTCCGTGAACCTCTCCCAAAAAAGGCCTTCAGCTTTTTTGTGCCGTTTTCTCAACTTCTTCAACTTTAGCCAGTCTTGAGCTCAAAAATTCAACAATTTTGAACACTATTGTCACATTGTGACATCCAGAATTTTTTCTCCTTCTTCTTCTTCCCTCCTACAAAGACTCCCATACCAAATAAGCATGTTTCCATAACTTTACATGAATATTATCTAGTAATCTTTTGGGGACTAGCTGATCTTGCAGAAGCTATTCACATTTTCTAATTACTGGCTGGCTTGATTTGGTGTTCAAAATTTCATATGGAGTTGTTAGTATCAAAACTCAAAGCAGGATTTGGCTGGGACCTGTTGGACTATTTGAAACTCAAATTCACCCATCCCAGCCAAAGTTGCAGATTATGTTGTTAGGTGAAGATTAGGTTTGTAATTTGGAACACTGTAATTTTCTATCATCACAATCAGTGGTGGGCCACTACACTACGCTACGCTTTTGGCCCAAAAAGCGTAGCGTAGCAGCGCATTTTTTCATCAAAAAAGTGTAGTGTTAGCGTTTTTTTAGCAGTATTTTTGCGACGCTACGCTGCACTACAGCGCTTTTAGCGGAAAAAGCGGCCAAAAAATGCTAAAAAGCGCTGTAGCGCAGCGTAGTGGGCCCTTTTTTGCGGCCCACATGCGTAGTGTTAGCGGTGTCGTGGCAGAATTCTGCTATGCTACACTTAGCGCTAACAGCAATTCCGCTGTGTTATGCTACACTAACCGCTACAGTTAGTGTAGCGGCCCACCGTTGTCACAATGATTGTACTTCCCTTCCAGACCATAATGCCTCTGATCATAACTCTTGATATAAGGAAGCTTGTTATGACCAAATGACTATCTTCAACTAAACACAAGAACAAGTGAAAACACTGTAATTGGCAGCTTTTGGTGAAACTAAAAAGTTAGAACAATACATGAGAGAATGTATCAAAAGTTTCAGCAAGACTGCGAAAGGATTATTAAGCTTTACCCAAATGATTTGTGAATAAAATGAGAAACAGCCACTCATGAGTTGGCCCACTTTGGAGGTCTTGGTGAATGACTTCCTTGGACTGTAATTAAAACTCCTACTTTATCACAACATTTAAATCATGACTGCACTGCTCTCCAGTACCTTCTTCAACACCCTAGTTATGGGGTTAGAATACACAGTTGTGTATAATTCAATTCCCCTCAAGCTTTGAGTTGGGTCAACATAAAAAGTATGTTTAGTGACATTTTGCTTCTGGAAAAAAGGATAACATTCATTCTGGAGTTGATGGTTGGCCATGTTGAGTGTTCTCTTGAAGGCGGGATAAGCTCAAGTCGGTGCTCCCGCGGGAGGGTGTCACCTATCCCTCATTTTTATGTGTAGCCCTGTGAAACGGAAGCTGCAAGTTGCAACCGCGAGAAAAAGGTCAAGCAGGTTTCTCAATATCATGTCACGGCTTTCTGCTGCGCGCGGTTGGTGCTCTAGTGGCGCCGGCCCCGTAGCGATTGGGTGTCTCACCATGGTTAACCTAACTGGGCCATCCACCGCTTCCATGCGGCCGCACCGTAACAGGCAGTGCCGAAGTGGCCCATCCCCCCGCGTATCCTCAAGCACCGACGAAGTCCGACCCGAGCCCTCAAGATCAAGATGTCGAACAAGGGTCAGTCCGGTTTCCTTCAGTGTCTGGTGATGTCCTTGGCGATCAAACAGCACCACTCACTGATCTCGACTGTCTGCTCATGAATTACAGCCAAGGCTAGCACCAAGTTCCGAATGACCCTCGCCCTCCCCGTGGGTGCCGTGGTCAACTGCGCCGACAACTCAGGTGCCAAGAATCTCTACGTCAGTTTCACTGGCTTCATCGCTTCAAGGACCTGTTATCCGATTCGCATATGACATATCAGGATTTTGAAACTCACAAGACATCGGTTTATTTTGGACTGATTCTCAGATTATCTCCGTTGTTGGATTTGGTGCTCGGTTGAACAGACTTCCTGCCGCCTCATGTGGTGACATGGTTATGGCAACTGTCAAGAAGGGTAAACCCGAGTTGAGGAAGAAAGGTATTTATCAAATGTCTCCAATCGCCGATTTCCTGTTGACTCATAAGTTCCTTTACCTCCATTTGTTAGTTCATGTTGCAATCATTGTCCGTCAGCGGAAGCCTTGGCGCAGACGCGATGGTATCTTCCTTTACTTTGAAGATAACGCAGGGGTAATCGTTAACCCCAAAGGTGAAATGAAAGGTTCTGCTATCGCTGGTCCAGTCGCCAAGGAATGTGCGGGTAAGTAATCCTTTTTCGTGAATCCAACTTGATCTTCAACTGGTGCGGTTCTGATCACCACTGCTTTCGGTTAATAGATCTTTGGCCCCGTATTGCCTCAAACGCTGGAACAGTTGTTTGATTTTCACTTGTCCGTTCGAAAACTGAAATTTGACCTACCTACTCAAAATCAGTGTTTCACTTGTATTCCCTGCAAAAAACGACGCTGTTCATGCCACGTAATCCAAGGCAGATTCTTCACCCCACGCTTCCTTTCTACTCGAGCTCACAAATACCCTCCCGGCTCACTTTACAAACATTTCCCTGGGAGTCGCTAGTATAACATAGCCCTTCCAACTCCGGTGCCGGAGCCCGCATCCGAAGGACCCTCAAAAGGAGTGGCTCACGTGCAACACCTCGCCTGCTTGCGAAAGCAGAAAAGATTTTGAGACTAAGAAAATGAAAATTGTTTTAAAGACGTATTTTTTTGCTCAATAGACAAAAATGCACCCCTGATCCTTGCGCAAATTTTGACACCCTTGACAACTTTGCAACCCAAAAACCGGATCCTCTGACATCAAAAGAGTCAAATTTTAATTTTTTGATTCGAACAAATGTAGTGTTATCCTGTTTGAACAGGAGCACATCCATCTCTGGATGTGCATTGGTTGCCAGACCTGATTCTTTTTTCGTGATGAAGCTCTATCATTGTAGTGCGCACGATTTGTCTGTCAGTTCTGATATACAAATGAGGATATGCCACATTACAAAAGGTCCTCCAAAACAATTCCGCACCTGCGGGCGGACGAGGCCCTGCATCCCATGACACCTCCGTCATTAGTTCAGAAATTGAGCACTCCCGGCTTATCTATGAACCTGGTTGGAGGGATTAGTCCAGATCTATCATCATCATCCTAATTCTTGATTGGGACCACACATACGCACGGTCTTTCTGAGTGATTGGCTAGCATTCACTTGATGTGCAAGTCCTTGATTGGAGGAGCTCTACGCCACACCACACCCATCGGGCTCATCGGAAGACTTAATGAAGCCTTGGTGGAATGGCTGAATTCGATCCCATGAGTACTTCCTCCTAATACTTCTCCGCTTATACCGTAGAGCCAAGGATCGCATATGGAAAAGCGCTTTTATATTGCAGAAAAGATGGGCGATGAAATCGCAGATGGACGGGCATATGGTCCATGGACCCCGGCTTCAACAAGGACAATTTTGCGCCTCATCGCAGCTGTTCGTTCATATGTTTGGCTGAATTTGGTAAAGTACCCATGAATTCCAATACTTCTTGATGATATTTGGTAAAGTACGCACGAATCCCAATACTTTATGACTTTGTGGCTCGGTCTCAAAACTACTAATAAACAAAAATAAATATTTATGTGTGGTTTTGAGGCCGGTGGCCAAGATCGATTCATCACAAGAATACAAAACCAAGGAAGTTTTTCCGTAACCGTTGTCATCCATCAGCCATTCATCTTCAGGCCATCGATCGATCATAAAAACCCTCAGAATGCAAACCTTTATTTATATTCTTTTTGGCTTCTTTGTCATAGGGAGGCCTGGGTATAGGAGGATAGATGCACCGAAGATTCCGGTTAAGCCTCCACCCCACTCTTGCAATCCATGTGGTACTCACCTCTAGCCCTGAGCTTCTGGTGTGAAAAATCGTCAGTTTTTTGTTTAGAGAAACTGATTGGAATGTTGCAACTTTACTGAAAGTTTCATACATTTGTAGGACGATAATCGGCGGATTTCGAACTTCATAACCCGATCCCCTCTCCCTCAAGTCGACGGATTGGCCCACCAATTACTTGACTTTCGATGCCCGATTCTCTGGCTATCCAATGGTTTCTTCAACGTCGAATCCATGGACTTTTTTCAACTCATCTTTTGTTGTCTCTTTTCCAATAATTAACTACCACTTGCGTAGAACACAAGCAGACAAGATGTTCTAACCTGTTTACGACTTCTTTTGGCCAATTTACTTAGCTCCCAGTCCACTATCATTCACAATTCAAAGAAACTCTTGAGGGTTTTCAACTGAGCATCATGACTGTTCTGTGTTTCTTCTCAGATGTTTTCCAGCGGTTGATGATGATGTTGCTCCAAACCCCATCCAGCGAACACAAGTTCATCGGAAGTTAAACACTAGGGCTTCATTAAAATAGCTAGTTAACAAGCTCCTGAACCTCTCAATCACCCTCTTGTGGCCTTGTCCTTGTTGTGGAAGCCCGAGCGCCTCATCACAAGCTCCCTCTGCCCCTTGCACTGTACAATCGTTTGCTTAACTCATGTCCCGAACGACCTCTTTGTTTTCTCATATTGAAGCTCTATTATTGTAGTGCGCACGATTTGTCGGACTTGCACTTGGTGAAGACGACGGTGCTGCGTCCTGTTCATCATAGCTTGAGTTGAGCGGCAGAACCGCTAACCTGCCTCAAAGTTATCCAAAACAGTCTCTCTGTCCCCTCTAGGCAGGACTCCGAGAGTATCTGTCATTTCTTGAAAGCAAAGGAGGATATGCCACATTACAAGATTGTACCCTCCAAGACAATTCCGCACTGACAGGCGGTCAAGGTCCTACATGCATCACATGGCACCTCGGCCGTCATGACACAGCATCGGTTCAGAAATGGAGCAATCCCAGCTTATCTATGTAACCGGTTTGAGTGGTCCAGATCTATCAACATCTTATATCTTCAATTCTTGAATGAATGGCTTTACACATGCGGATGGCATGAGTGATTGGGCAGCATTCACTTGTTGTCCCAGCCCTTGATTGGAGGACCGGGTATACAGAGCCTGGTGCAAAGGAAAGCACGCTCCACACCACACCACACCCACCGGGCTCATCGGGCTCATCGGAAGACTTAATGAAGCTTGGTGAGATGGCCGAATGCCATCCCAAGAGTACTTCTTCCCAATACTTCTCCGCTTATACCGGAGAGCCAAGGCTCGCATGTGGAAAAGCGCTTGTATATGTATTGCAGAAAAGATGGGCGATGAAATGACGCATGGACGGGCATATGGACCCCGGCTTCAACAGGGACGATTTTGTGCTTCACCGCAGCTGTTCGTTCATATGTCTCGCTCAATTATGTAGCATGAGTATTTGGGCAAGTACGCATGAATGCCAATAATATTTCTGTATGACTGTGTGTGGCTATGTAGTTTTGAGACCGGTGGCCAAGGTTGAAGAATATACATAAAACCAAGGAAGTTGTTCCATCACTATTGCCACCCACCAGCCATTCATCTTCAGGCCTCTGTTTGCTTTAGTCATTAGTTTGAACCATCAATCGATTATAAAACCCTCAGAATGCAGAGCTTTATTTATATTCTTTTTGGGTTCTTTGTCTTCCATCTCGCCGTCACCTCCCCAACGGGAAGATCTGGAAAGCGGATGAAGGACATACCAGAAGTGCCTTGCAATCCATGTGGTACTCACCTCAAGCCCTGAGGTTCTGATGTGAAAAAATGTCAGTTTTTTCCGTTCAGAGAAAATGATTGGAAGCTTTCAACTTTATTGAAAGCTTCATAAATTTGTAGGATGATTATCAGCGGATTCCGAACTTCAGTAACCCGATCCCTCCTCCCTCAAATCGACGGATTGGCCTTTCACTTTCGATGCCCGATTTTCTGGCTATCCAATGGTTTCTTTAACGTCGAATCCTTGGACTTCTTTCAACTCATCTTTTGTTGTCTCTTTTCCAATGATTATCTACCGCTTGCATAGAACAGAAGCCGACAAGATGTTCTAACCTTTGTACGACTTCTTTTGGCCAATTTACTTAGCTTCCGGTATCATTCACATTTTAAAGAAACTCTTAAGGGGTTTCAATTGAGCGATGATGATAATTAGCAAACATAAGTTCATCCAAAGTTAAACACTAGGGCGTCATTAAATTGGCTAGACATACCATTGACCAAGCAAATTACAACACAAGGTCACTGCATTTCTGATCCGACCACAATTTTTTTTTTTTTTCCTTCCCAATGGTCTCCAACAAGGCCTAGGTAGTTGAGCTGGATCTTTTCACACCTGCTCCTGTTCCAGGAAACTTCGCGATGTCAGCACACTCCGAATGAAATGTTTGTCCAAGTTCAGGGATTGGTTCAGATTTGTTTCATCTTTTTGACTGAATGAGAGCACGCAAAGACTTGATTACCTTCGCGTGACCTCGCGCCTCTTCGTTCATCTACTTGGCTAAAGCTTGTTTCTTTATGTATAAGCTACAGCTTCACCGGCCTCGATGCCGAAGAGAAAAACTTGTCGTGTTTGGCATCCGCATGCGCGATCATATTGGGCGTTTGCCGAGTGATTCACGTATCACCCCCACTCAAGCAACAAGTTCTCCATCGGAAATGGAAGGAAGGGATGCTGCGAACCCCAGGGACCCGTCAGGCCGTTACACTGAATGCGATCCCATGAAGTTCTCCGCTGACCGCAGAGAACAACTTCTGTCTCATTTGGAGATGCGCCACCATCAGAACGCAAAAAAAGTTGGCGATGAAATGGCGCATGGACAAGCATGGACTCAATGTGATTCTTTAACTTGCGCAATCTTGCGGCTCTTCGTTCGCATGGGTGTTTGGATTTGTGATCGTGAACGTTGGGTGTACGTTCATAAGTTCCAATACCTCTTTACAGCTTTGTGTCTTTATAGTTTTGAGACCGTTGAACAAGATTGAAGAACATAAAACCAAGGAGGTTTTCACCGTTGTTGGAATCCACCAGCATCCACCAGCCATTCACCTTCAGGCCTCTTTCTGCACACCCATTAGTTTGAACTTTGAAACAATAATAGAAACTCTTGAAATGCAAGTTCTTGTTCCGATTCTTAGTAGCTTCTTTGTCTTACAAGTAGCCATTGCCTCCCCGGCAAGGGGAGGGGCGGATATACCCGAAATATGGCCTAAGCCTCCGGGGACGGTTTGCACTGGATGCGATACTCAGGCAAGGAAAGGGGCGGATATACCCGAAATATGGCTCAAGCCTCCGGGGACGGTTTGCACTGGATGTGATACTCACCCTAAGCCCTGTTGTCCTGATTTGAAAACCGGTTGGTCTTCTGTTCAACCAATTTGATTTCAACTTGGCAACTTACTGAACGCTTTAAAAATTTGTGTAGAGTGATCCGCGAATTCCAACTTCAGTTGAGTGATCCGCGAATTCCAACTTCAGTTGCCAGATCCCTCTTTCGATGTCGACGGATTGGCCAAATCTATTATCTATCGATCTCCGATGCTCTTGTGATCCAGTGGTTTCTCGAAGTAGAGCTTTGAATCATTGTGCTTTTTTCAAATCACTATTTATTGCCCCTTTCCCGATTGTTATCTACGAGAGGCATTCGAGATGTGACTTATGGAAAGATGTTCTAACTCTGACATATTACTTTGTCAATTGGCTTGGCTTTCAGTTCCATTCAAAACCGAATAATAAACTCATAGAGGATGTTCAGTTTTGCATTATGCTGTCCAGTTTTCCTTCAGATAATTTCCCGGCGGGTTGAAGTATCTCCAAAACATCTTGAGCAAACGTGGTATCAGATCACGAGTGTTGTACATTTAAGATTCGGCTGCGTTTTCCTCCTCTTTCCTTCCACGTAAATTCCAGCAATACTTGGGCTTGATCTTTTCTCTCATGTGCCCTTGACAGGATTATACAATTTCCTCAATTTTGATCCATTTGCTTGGTTATTCAATCCAAGAAAACATCTCAGGAAACTTCAAAAGAAAGCGAGAGCAATGATCTTGATAGTATTGTGTCACTGACAATCTGTTTTATATAAATCTGCACTGGGAAGGGGGAAACTGGCACTGCCAAAAAATCTGCATTTATCTTGCAGATTCGCAATGAGAATTGATTTAGTGAATAAGAATTGATATAGTGAGTGAGCAAAACAGGAGGTCAGAGAACAGAAGAGGAAGAAATGAATGATCGAGAGAACAAGCCTTGAGATGATTGAGAAATTCGACAATTGTAAAAGGAAGTTCAAAGGATCGATGTGTCACAATCTATTCACAAGAAGGTGGTAAGAATTGATGTAGTGAGAGAGAGGGAGAGGGAGGGAAACCAGAGACCTGAGGAGACAAGAGCTCGGAAAAAGAAAAGATAGAGACAACAAGCCAGAATATGTGGATGATAAAAAAATTTGCCTTTCGGATTTGTTTTATTATGCTTTGAATTTTTCATTTTTAGCTTTAGTTTTTGTAGACAATGACAAAGGAAGCTTCAAAGGATTGGTGAGGAAAGGATATTTGAGGCAAATGGACGATAACCGAATCTGGAAACTTTTTTTTTTTTTGATTGTGCGATGA